ATGGTGCATCGCCGTAGGAGAAATGTTGTCACAACGAAATAATAGTCTTACTGGAATGAGAGCTTCTCCATTGTAGAGGAATTCCAGCAGATGAGTGAGCTGGGTTTTTCGCACTCCGGATAAGTGAACCACGTGGTCCAACGCTGGGTTACGAAGGAGACTAGCCAAAAGGGGACTAGCTGCGGCCAAAACTACCCGATGGGCCTTGACGACCGATCCGTCGTCGCAAGCTAACGTCACGTCCACGTGACGGTCCCCGGTGTACCAGGCTCCGACCTCCGCGGCCAAGGTCGCTGGATGCTTCCCATAATGGAGCGTCAGGAGACCGTCAGTATACATCGTCTGCAAAAAGTTAGTTAATTATTTATATTATTCGTTTGTTGCATTACCGCGTTTACACGTGTCTAAGTTACGAGCGTGTGTGTTGCATAACGAGTTCTCCTCTGTAATGAGCATTGGAAAATTCTATGAAAAAAGTTGCAAAGATGAAGTTTAGTCGATGTTATACAATAAGTAATTTAAACGAGTGATGATTAATGAATAATTTTACTTATTATTATTTCAATTGTTCATTAGTGTTTGCATGTGTTTAATTGTATGATGCGTAACAAGTATTGGAAAATTCGATGAAAAAAGTGGCAAAGAAGAAATTTAGTCGACGCTATAAAGTGAGTAATTTTATTGTAATAATTTGCTTTTTAATATTGCTATAATAATTTAACCTACTATTTTGAATTATTTGATACCTTATCTCATTATACATAGTGTTTACAGTTGTACAATGAGTTTGATTATTTCTTTTTTGTAACGAGTACTGGGAACTTCAATGGAAAAAAAGATTGCAATAAAGAAATTTAGATGTTACAAAATAATTTTATTATAATAATTTAATAACTACTTAGTTTTATTTTTAAATTACTTTATAATATAGTTAAGTACTTATATTTTATAGTACAGTTAAATTACTTTATTACAGTTCTCACACTATAATGACTAATTATATGTATCGTTCAACTATCACTTCAATAACAAGTATTTATTGAAAAATTCGATAAAAAGAATTGCAGAGCAGGTATGAAAGTTTCATGCGCTAATTTAATTGAAATTATGAAATAAATAATTTCATTGTATTTTAATTGTTATTTATTTTCATTTATATTATTCCTTACTGAGTTGCATTATAATTTTTGCATGTGATGCAATAATTGTATGACGCGTTCAACTATCTCTTTTGTAATAAGGAAAATTCAATAGAATTATTACTTATTTAGTGCAAAACAGATGATTTAATTAATAATATTAATTTAATTAATATACTACAAAGTAAATAATGAAATTTTCAAGAAATTAATAAATTTAATCTTCAAACAATATTGTAGAATTATGGATAACTATAGCAATTACTGTTAGATTTAGTAATTAATTGTATAAATAAATAAATTTAGTTTAATTTACTAACATTATAATTCAATATTTAATTCATACTTTAATATTACTTTAAAAATTTTAAAACAAAATAATTTAACTTTATATTGTTATGATTCCCAATGATATTTATAAATTGATAATAAATATCTTGTATAATTAATTTACTAACATCATAATTCAATATTTAATTCATACTTCAATATTACTTTAAAAATTTTAAAACAAAGTAATTTAACTTTATACTGTTATGATTCCCAATGATATTTATAAATTGATAATAAATATCTTGCATAATTAAATAAATAAGAGAATGTGTGCAATTTTTAAATGAATGTTAGAATAATTTTAATTATTTTTAATTCATAAATTGATAGATAACATTAATGAATTGACAAAATATAGGCTACAAGTTATAAACATTTATATTTTAATAAATAGGATAATAAAATGTATGATTTGTAATTTATAATTTTTTAATTTGTTTTCCATTTGTTACTCTATTTTGGTTATTTAAATTTCTAAAATTTCACGCACGAGATACTTTTCCTTTGCAAATATAATATAATGATATTTAACAATATAAACATTCAACAATATAAAAATAAACATTCATTTCATTAAACTATCATTTATTATAAAAAAAATTAAGAACAACTTTTTATATATTTCATTTCTAGTGTTTTAAATCTTTTGCTTTATATAATTTTTAAACATGGAATCTATCAAATTTTTATTGATATTAAATTTTAAGTAATATCTCTCTAAACTCTCTAAACTATCTTGATTAATTGATGAATCTGGTAACAACAAATTTTATCTTCCCGTATTCAATATTATTTTAAAATCAAGCAATACTAACATTCTGCGATTCTGGTCTTTATATTTCTTAATATAATTGTTATACTGAGCAATAAATAAATATATCAGTACACGTCCGTTTTTATTTTAATATGATACTGTATGTCTATATAATTAACCATTTATTCTTAAAATATCCTATATCCATGATATACCAATTTATCGTACGCAAAGTGTAAGCACAATGATGCTTATTATCACGTATCAACGACGATGATAGCGAGAAGAACGCAAGTAGGCACGGTTTCCGTGGAAATTCTTTCGTAACGACGAAATAAGCGAAATATGTGCGACGTCCTTAACCCAATAATGCGGTCTCGTCATGAAAAGGCAGCTTCGTTACACTAATTTCATCTTTCCGTGCCCCGCCCCTGTTAGAAACGACGGAAGACGAATGACGTGTTCCAAGATTATGTTTCTCACGTTTCTCTGACATTCGCTCAACTTTCTGCCAAGGACTGAGAATTTCGTCTAATGATAACTCGCCTATGTGTAATTAAGCTGTTTATTCGTCAAGTTCGATTTCACGTGGGTAAGTTCCGACGATAAACGATTTCAATCTGTCCGCCATTTATGATGCGAAACAGTGTAACAGCAAGATTAAAAATTGAAATTTCGATGATATTAAAAATATATCTGCATTAATTAATCCTATAAATGCTTAAAATTATTACAATTAAAAATAATTATATAATAATTGTATAATAATTATATAATTAAAAATATAAAAGTCTAAAAAATGAGAAGCATACAATAAATTAATAACTGATTCAGTTATTAATTCTTTTTTAAGTATATATTTTTTTAATGCTTATGCTTATTCATTATGTTATAATATGTTATATTCTTTGTCTTTCAATAAGTAGAACAAATCATTTTATTATTAATTATTTATATGATAATCTAGTATAGATTAAACATTCAAAGGATTAAATAAAATACTTGTATGTAAAATATGTACACTATCGAGTATAAATATTTGGATTGTTCTAAATTAATGCAAATATATAAACTAGAATTCGAACGAATTTAATTGTATACAATCGATAGAAAAACTAATATCAATTAATAGTATAATTGAGTATAATTGAAGATGGCTGAAGATTAATTTTGCAGTGATTCTCTAATTAAATGATTTTAAAGTATATTTGTTCAATATTGAGTTATCAAGAAGATAGAAATATATATTTTTAATCATACTCAAAATTCATGTAAATTAGCTATTAGAAATAAATATAGAACTCGAATGATATGTATATATATATATATATATATATATATATATATATATATAT